ATATACGGCCAGAAACAATTATCCTATGCCCCGTGCGGATGATCTGTTCGACCGCCTCTCCGGCCACCACTTTTTCACGAAGATCGATCTTCGTAGCGGATATCACCAGATCCGCATAGCCGAGGAGGACCAGTCTAAGACCGCTTTCCGTTCTCGTTTTGGGCACTATGAGTTTACCGTCATGCCTTTCGGTCTCCGTAATGCCCCTGCCACCTTCCAGACGGCTATGAACACGATGTTCCAAGACCTTCTTGAGGACTCGGTTCTAGTCTACATCGACGACATCCTGGTCTACAGTCGTACCTTAGAGGAGCATCTGACCCACCTCCGCACTGTCCTCCAGCGATTACGCAACCATGGGTTTTATGCGAAGCTCTCCAAATGCCACTTCGCTCAACCCAAAGTCGACTTCCTTGGGCATCMGGTCTCCGAGCACGGACTCCACATGGACGACTCGAAGATTCAGGCCATTGTCGACTGGCCCACTCCTACCTCTCTTCCTGCGCTGCGTAGTTTCCTTGGGTTGACCARCTACTATGGTCATTTTCTTAAAAACTATGCGCAGTATTCTTCCCAACTTACTCCTCTGACCCGCGGACGTCTACCTTTTCATTGGACCCCGACTCACGAGGATGCTTTCCGCTCTCTCAAGCGACTTGTCACGTCAGCTCCTGTCTTACACTTACCCGACTACTCGCGTCCATTCATCGTCACCACCGACGCATCCGACTTCGCTATTGGAGCTGTTCTCTCCCAGATCTACCCAGCCCCCTCTACTTCTCCTGACTCCACAGAGTCCCGCCTCCCTCGCATTCCTCGCTTCCCTCCTCCACCTCCAGCGACTGCGGCTCATCTTGCACCCATTGAGCCCACCCCCCAGGGGCTCCACCCCCTTATATTCCTGACGTCGTTGATGACGGTACAGTCGAGTCTCGCGATGGAGAGTGTCCGGTTGCTTATCTATCTCGACCGCTACTTCCCGCTGAGCGTAACTATATTGCCGACGAGCGTGAGGTCCTTGCGCTGGTCTACGCTGTTAAGAAGTGGCGTCATCATCTGCACGGTCATACGTTCACCGTTTTGACGGACAACTCTGTCCTCGCCGCCTTCCAGACGAAGCCTAAGCTCACTTCTCGTCAGGCTCGTTGGTGGCGTGACCTCTCCAAGTTCGATTTCACCGTCAAGAAGATTTCAGGCGAAAGCAATCGTGTTGCAGATGCCTTATCCCGCCGCCCCGACCTTCATTGCGAGGATCGTCAGCTATCTGCTATCTCAGCCCCCACCATTCACCCCGCCTTTCTGGATGAGTACCGCCGCGCATACACCCAGTGCCCTGAGTTTCAGTCCATCTACGCTGACCTACAGGCATGTAAGCCCGTCCCTAACTTCCAGCTCGATCCCTATGGACTCTTGTACTGGCTTGGTCGCCAAGGTACTCGTATTCCCCGCTTATGCGTGCCCTCTACTGGCCAGCTCCACGTTCGGGTCGTCGCTAAGTGTCATGACCAGCGCGCCGCCGGTCATCTCGGTGTCTTCAAGACACTTGACCGCCTCTACCGCCATTACTATTGGGAGCACCGCCGTCCTTTCACTAAGGAGTACGTCCGCACCTGCAGGATCTGCCAGGAGGCCAACATCCCCAACCACCCCCCCTACGGTCTTCTTCAGCCCTTACCCATTCCCACTCAGCGTTGGACTTCTGTTTCTATGGACTTCATCGGTCCTCTTCGTCCCCCTACCCCACGAGGCCATGACGCCATCTTCGTCGTTGTCTGTCGGTTGACTAAGCATGCTCACTTCCTCCCTTGCAAGTATGCTAGTTCAGCCAAAGACATCGCCTCCCTATACTTCAACCGTATTGCCATCCATCACGGTCTTCCCACTAGCATCATCTCTGATCGCGATCCCCGCTTTACTTCTCATTTCTGGCGTCGACTCCATGAGATTTATGGCTCCGAGCTCCGCCTCTCCTCCTCCTATCACCCCCAGTCAGATGGACTCCGCCTCTCCTCCTCAAGAAGTTTGTTGAGAATGACTCTTATTGGGATCTGCATCTTGCTCACGCAGAGATTGCTTATAACCATGCTATTTCACCTGCCACTGGCATGTCTCCCTACTACTGTGACTTGGGATGCCATCCCCGTGTCCCATCTGACCTTCTTCGTCCATCTCATATCCATCCCGACACCAAATGCCCTGCCCTCGATGACTGGGTAAAGGAGATGGATGCGCTCCTTAGCAAGGCTCGCGAGAGCATTGCTCACGCCCAAACTCGCATGGCCACTCGCGCTAACCGCTCTCGCATCGACCATCCCTTCAAAGTTGGCGACGAGGTTCTTGTCGACGCACGTCACTTCCAGCCCGAAGTTGACACACTTCGGAAATTAAGACGTCGATATATTGGACCATGCACCATTCTTGCACCTGCCACGACTGTCCGGTGAGCTTCAAATTGAAGCTCCCCGATTCCATGTACCGCGCTAACTTACATGATGTGTTCCATGTATCTCTTTTGCGCCCCTTCAGACGGTCTCCCCCCGAGTTCCATGGTCGACCTTACCCTCGCCCCTCTCCCATCATCATTGAGGGTCACGAGGAGTTTGTCGTCTCTGATATTGCGTCCCGGCGTATGACTGATGGTGMCCCTCCCCGCCTCGAGTATCTCGTTCGATGGAAGGGTTATCCTGACGAGGAGTCTACTTGGGAGCCTTTTGAGCACCTGAAGCATGCTATGACTTTCGTGCGTGCTTACGATCATGCTCATCCTTTCCCTTCATCATCCTCCCCTCCTGCTTCTCGTCCTTCTACTACTGACCCTTCTACCTCTGCGACCACTAACATTCCCCCTCCTCCATCGATGGGTCCGCCTGCTCCACCGGTACCCGCCTCAGGCCCTCCTTCCCCTGTGGCTGTGGTTCCGCCTGTTGTTGCAGTTCATTCCTCTCGCCCTCAGCGTACCCATCGACTTCCTTCTCGTTTTCGTGACTGATCTATATCCCCCATACGCTCTCTATCTTTTATCATTCCTGGACACTTATGCAGCAGCTCCCGGTTTCAGCTTCTACATTCGGCCTCTACATTCAGCTTCTACTTCGGCTTCTACATTCGACTTTCGAACTCAGTGCTTCTCCTCAGTACCAGAGTACCTGTCGCTGTGTTCTGGACTTCTACTCGGTTCTTGCAGTACCCCTACTTCATCCAAGCTACTTCGGTTCGACTTTAGTCTGGAGACTCATCAGTTGGACTACTTCACCCCTTTCGGCTACATAGTTCCCATCATTCCCACCTACCCACCACCCTCGAGCTTACCCTTCAGTCGCATGATGACCCCTATTTTCCCTGTCTATGTGGGTGTGTCCGTTTGCCGCCCTTCTGCCTTGCCTTATGCTGCGCGTCCTCCTCTGGAGTGAACGTTTTCTTTGCTCGCGGCTTTTGGCCACATGTCTATGCCGGCATGGCCCCCTCTTTCCTTCCAGGCTCACCTTATGCGTGCTCCCTTGTGTGAGTGCCCTTCCCCCCTCTCAGCTGGCGGTACCTATTTGATGGTTTCCATTGAGCCCGGTGTCGTGCTGTTACTCCCCCTCTGAGCCTGATGACCCCTTACCTGGTTGTGTGGGTGCCCCCTTGGAGTTTACTTTGAGAGTTGTACCTGCCGCCTTCCCACCAGTTCCTACTTCTGCCATGCGACTGAGTTCCCTTCTCCTTTGTTCAGGTATTGTGCATTGTGTACAGGGCACGTGAGACTGTGCCACATTGGTTTTCGCCTTAGGACATTGGTTTAGTTATTCTTTGGCCTTTAGGGCCCTGGGGTTGATTTATATCCAGCCTATTTGACTCATGAGACATTTTTCTCTTTCTTGGCCGACACAGGTCAGACATTTTTCTCTTTCTTGGCCGACACAGGTCATACATTTTTCTCTTTCTTGGCCGACACAGGTCAGACATTTTTCTCTTTCTTGGCCGACACAGGTCAGACTGTTTTCTACTTTTTGGGTCGACACAGACCAGACATTGTTGTTTAGATTAGGCTTGAGGCTTAGTCTGCATTGCATCCCTTTTCCTGCATGGAGCCTGCTCCGCATCTAGGATTGTTCTTTTGCCGTTCCTTTTGGGTTTCCGCTATTTCAGCGGATAGCGTGTTTGATGTATCGCTTGATCCATTCACAG